GCAGGTCCCCTTGGGAGAAGGGGTGAGTCATTTGTGAAATGAATGATGTCTTGTCTGAGGCAGGAGCATGGGTGTGTGCGCGCCGCGGTGAGGGGCGTGGGGTGGTTTGGGGGAGTAAGAGAGCAGTGGTCTGCTGTCAGAGGAGCCTCCTGTGAGCTGGGGCAACTCAGCTTTGCTTCTGCCTGGCTCTTCGGCACTGTCCTGCCCACATCCAGGCCCTGGGCACTGCAGGGCTCGCCCTCACCTTCCTGCAGTGCTGCTCCCCAGCTCTGCCTGCTGTCCCTGCTGTCCCTGCTGTCCCTGCTGTCCCTGCCTGTCTCTCGGCCCATCTCTGTGCAGCTCTTTTCCCTCTGGGCTCCTCTCAGAGTCCTCCTCCCACCTCTGCCAGCTCCTGCCTGCCCTCACCTTCCACGGCGCCCTCCCTCTGTCCCTGGGGTACAACCCCAGCTTGGCAGGCATGCTCTGGTGAGGCCTGGAGTCAGCCCTGGAAATCTCTGCCTCTGAGCTCCATATTCCACAGTGCAGTCACCATCTCTGGGGTCCAAAACTCTCAGGCAGCCCAGAAAAGCTGGTGTCTCATCTTGCCAGGGCCAAGGGGCTTAGCATAGGATGTCACACCTGGCATTTTCCTCTGGCTCCCCTTCCTGTCGGGAAAGCCAAGCCTCAGAGGCTACATGGAAGCTGAAATATAATAGGCCAACACATATTGGCTGTGCTACCTTGGGCAAATTACTCAGCCTTTCTGAGCCTCAGTTTCCAGCTCTGTACAATAAAACCAACCTGGCTCACCTAAATGTGTTCTTGCCAGGCAAAGGGAAATGAAGGAAAAGATCTAGTTAAGTACTCACACTCCGTACAATTAGAACAAACTGTAGTGTCATCCCATCTGATCTTACCCATCAGTCAAGTGAGAGCCTTGGAGAAGTCCCAATAACAGGCAGGAGTGTGATACTCAGTCCCCCATATATGATGTAAGGTCCCCAGGCTTTCTGCTGCTAGCTGATGGGGTCACTGACCCAGGGAGGAAGGAGATGTGGCCTCTTTTCAAAGGCTGGCAACATCCTGGAAGCTTCCACCCAGCATGTGGGGCTGATCATGTGGGGCTGATGTCCAGCAGTGCCCAGAGCAGCCCAACCAGTTCACGAAAACTCTGAGGCCCAGCCTAAAGCCTTCAAGGTGTTACCTCACCAGGCCAGTGGGGCTCTCGGGCCCTTCCCCACCTTGGACTCTGCTGCACCCAGGACAGTAACAGGTGTAAGGAGCAGCAAAAATCATCTGCTCCCTGGGGTGCAGAAGACACAGAATCTTGCCTTGGGGGACATCCAGCTTTGTGGGACATGAGGAGACATGAGATCAGAGCCTTGGAGTCAACTGCAGGCAGAGTCAGGGCAGGGTTGAGGGCCTAGGGAGGTCCCTGGAGAACAGCAGCACACGGGCAACAAGGCCTCATTTGCACTCTGTTCCTGGAGTCTGAGGTCTGAATCAAGGGGAGGGGTGGGGAAGGCCGATGGGAGCCAGACCTGGAGCTAAGTCCCAGGGGGCTTGAGTGGAAGAGCTTTGTGGGAAGCGGCAGCGTTTGCAGAGCCACAGGGAGAAAAGCAGAGTTGTCCTGTGGGGACCCTGACAGGGCCAGTTGGCCGTTGCAGAGGTGGGATCGACTGATGGAGGCTTCTGTGCCCGCTTTATCGACCACCTGCAGATGGCAGGATGGGTGTCTTTAGCATGTTGCACTCTGGGGCATCCCTCAGGAACTGCTGTTTGTACCCAAAGATCTCAGGACCGTAGGGACAGTCCAATGTGCCCTCCTTCCTGCTGCTCCATTTTATGTTTTGCAGATGGGAAACCCAAGAGGCTAGGCCCTGACCTCTGCTCTGTCCAGTCCCTGCAGGCCGGGAAACAGCCAGGACTCGCCTTTCACCTCCATGGCCTGAGCTCAAGCAGGGCTTTGGAGAGGAAACCACCCGCTGCCCCGCCCGCCCTGCACTGGCTGGGCAGGCAGCCCTCCCTGCCCTGTATGGGTGGGTCTGCCTCCCTCTGCTGCCTCTCTGGGCCTCAGTTTCTCCATCTGTAACATGGGGATGAAGTCAGGTCGGCTGAGCACTCTATCCTTTCAGCTTATAGGTGGTGTTTGTCTTGAATTGGGCTAGGGACAGAGAGCTGCACAGTCCCTGGGGATAGACTAGAGGACACTGGAGGTCGGGGAGCCGAGAGGATCTCCCTTCTCTGCCTGTGGAGCAGTCTCTGGGTAGGGGTGAAGCTGTGACCCTACGGTGGGGTGGGTGGGGGTTGAGCTGCCAGGCCAGGGCAGCCTGCTCAGAGGCCTCTGGCTGCCCGGGATGCCCGAGGGGCCACTGTGAGCAGGGGAGCATGGCCTCAAGGTGGGGACAGGACTTTTTTCCAGGGTGTGATTAGTGCACTTTTGGACATCCACCGAACTTCCCCTTCCTCTTGACATTCACTGCCCAAACAGATCTGATTCCTGTGGACTTGCTTAACTCTTCTCCAGAAAAAAAAAAAAAAAAAAAAAAGAAGAAAGAAAAAGGAAAATGGGGAAAATAAGAGGGTTGTTATTTGTGAAATTGCACTTCCCAGCCATGAGGGTGAGTCACACCATTTGGAGCCTCAAGTTTCTTGTTTGGATGAACTTTTCTCTAAGGGGCTGGGACCATGCTGGGCTCCATCTGGCTGATTGGGGGTGGCGGTGGGGGTCTGCAGGTCTGCAGAGAGCCTTGGAGAGAAGATAAGGAGAGGCCTGAAGGTTGAGAAGTCCAGGCTCCCGAGGGGTGGACCTGGCTGCTGGCACCAGAGTAGCTTGGGGAGCTGGGGGAAATGCAGATTTGGGCTGGGGGGAGGGGAGAGCAGGGAGTTAAAGTCTGCTGGGTGCAGAGTTTCAGTTTGGGAAGATGGAAATGTTCTGGAGGTGGACGGTGGCCACGGTTACGGTTGCACAACAGTGTAAAGGCTCTTCATGCGACTGAACTGTGCACTTTAAAATGGTGACTTTGGTCATGTGTATCTTGCCACACAGTGAAACATGCAGATTCTGGGCCCTCCCATGCCAAGTGGCTGCTTTGGTGGGTCTGACATGGGGTCCAGAGAACTGTTTGTGTTACAGGTTTCCCAGGCCATCCGACACAAGTTTGGACTCACTCATTTAATCTGTATAATGGGGACAGTGACTCACAGGGTGTTGGTGTTTCCAGTGCTAGAGTGGTGAGCGTTTGGCATGTCACCATGATGGAGTCTGAAATCCATCTGAGCCCTCCGTGCACCCTGCAAGGGGGTCTCTTATTGGGTTTCTACAGAGAGGGGGCCCTCTGCCCCTGAGGTGGACCACTCCATTTTAGGCTCATCTGAAAAAGGAAGAGGCACTCCGGAAAATGCTGGCTGGTGTGGCATTGTCTGCTGTCCTGGCTGTCCTGATGGTAGGACAGAGTTGGGGTGTCAGGACCCATTGAGCTCTGTTTTCCAGTCACTGTAGGATGGTTATGTGGGGGCCCGGGCTGCTCCAGGTATGGCATCTGTGTCTTTCCTTCTATGTGCCAGGATCTGATGCAAAACTTTATAAAAGGGACAGAGGTCCAGAGAGGGCAAGGGTCATCCCACAGTCACACAGCATAGTGTCCTGAGGGACCAAGATCAATAGTGGCACCCAATTGATGGGGGTTTTGTCTTCTAAGAGGGGAGAAACAGAACTCTAAAGATGGACACTGTAGAGAGTGAGATGAGGAGGTGAGGAGCTGTACTGGGGATGAGGGACAGAGGAGGGTGTGGCCCATGCCTTCAGCATAGCTCTCAACTCTCCTCCTTCCCCCTCCTACACTGAGGGGGGCACAAAAAGGACTGTCCCCACCCTGGGCTGCTATGTGTCCTATCTTTGTCAGGGAGCTTGAGGCTCTTCCTTCCAGGGGCCCTGCTTCCCCATCAGCTTGAAGACTCCCAAGGACAAGTCCTCATCCCTCCATCGGATCCAAGGCTCCCCAGGATCACAGCTTACCCTTGCAAGTTCCTGGGCACCTGTGTTGGAGCCAAGGGGTGCCCAGCCCCACGCCCAGGTTGGTCTTCGGGCCGCCTGTAGAATCTCCCTCTTTCTAGCCTTGGCCTTTCTGTAGGCAAGGGGACCCATGGCCGATCCATGCCAGCCTCACCGCAGGGCCCCACCTTCTCTAAATTCCGGTGTGCCAGGCCGCCCGGAGCCTGGGACTCCTATAAATAGAGGCTGTATACACCAGGAGGGGCCTGGCCGCCTCTGCTTTGAAGCTCAGTGGCAGGTCTGGTTCCTGTCTTCTGGGGGTGGGAGAGGTGGGCCGCTTCCCTCCTGGGGCTCTCTGAGTGGTGGCCTGAGCCCCGCCGAGCTCCCAGACACAGACTAAAGGCTTCTGGCCACAGGAGGCCAAGTGGGGCTCAGACCCCTGTAAAATGGAAACCGCGCTGTCGGCTGCAATGCCTCTTCCTTACAAGATGGGGAAACCGAGTCAGCATGACTCAACCAAAGTTCCTCTGCCAGCCAGTGGCAGATCCCCAAATCTAACAGGTTGCTTTCTACACCACCTTCCTACCTTGTGATGGTGCGTAAAGGAGAATTAATTGTAATAATGATAATAATGGTCACTGTGATCATCACTGTGTACTGAGTGGTTCCTAAGTGCCTGGCTTGAGGTCAAACATTTCTGACCTCATTTTAGCCTTTTAGAAACCCTGGGAGATGGCTGTCATTGGTTGGGCCCATTGTGTAGCAGAGCCACCGTCGCCCCATGGGGGGTCACTGGCTCATCTTAGGACACACAATTCCGGATCTGGACTCGGGGGCCAGAGCCCTTGGGCAGCTGAAGGCTCTGCATAAGCTCATGTGTGTGTGTGTGTATGTGTGGGGTGTGTGTGTGGTGTGTGTGTGTGTGTGTGTGGTGTGTGTATGGGGGGGGGGAGTGGGTGTGGGTGTGTTGGGCCATGGAAACCTCCTCCCCGGCTGCCTCCGCGACCCACGCCTCTGTCCTCCGCAGGCCCTGAGCAGTAGCGCCTACAAGAGCGCCTCGCCCTACGGCTCCCTCAACAACATCGCCGACGGCCTCAGCTCTCTCACTGAGCACTTCTCGGACCTGACCCTCACTTCTGAGGCCCGCAAGCCCAGCAAGCGGCCCCCACCCAACTACTTGTGCCACCTGTGCTTCAACAAAGGACACTACATCAAGGACTGCCCCCAGGTAAGGCAGCCCTGACTCACTCGGGGAGGGCTCTCAGGCTCCCTTGCTGACCTGGGGCAGCTCTGGCCTGTGGGCAGGCACAGTGGCCTCCCCAGGAGCCCTCCCTTCAGAGAGTGGCCCCATGGCCCTCTGGTCACCACCATTTTGTCCCCCCTGCTCTTGCTGAGACAAGGCTGCTGGTGCGGATGGAACAGAGGCCCAGCTTGGGCCTAACTAGCTGGGCGGAAATGAGTGGGGGATCCTGGACCCAAACTGGGCCCCCAAATGAGGTTTTGCGCCTTTTTGTCTCCACCAGCTCCTGCAGGGTGGGTCCCATTACGGTGGGGCAGGACGGGGCCAACAGCCTCCTCATAGCTCTCTGGAGGCCCCATCTGCTCACACTCACTCGGAAGGAATGTGGGCTCCTGGCCAGGAAGCCAGATGTGCACCCCCTCCTCGGACCCCACCTCTGCCTCCTCAGCCTGCAAAGATGAGGGAAGGGGGTCCTGCCCCACTCTCCATTCCCCAGACAGGTCTGGGAAGGCTCAGGCACCAAGGGATTGGGCATCTCTCTTGGGGTACATGGGAGCCAGGACATGGAGGGTGCTGGGGAGTGCCCCCCCTTACCCAGTGCTTCGCAGAGATGAAGTGGGACCTCTGGGGCAGATCCCAAATCTTCCATAGATGTGGCTTTGGGATCCTGGGGGAAGCAGTCAGCAGCTGTCTTTTAAAATACGGTGTGAGATTAACGGTGATTTTTCCCCCTGTTTTTTTCATATTTTCCAATTATTTTATAATGCGATGCTAGTTAGATTTGATGAATGTAGTAGAAATGGAGTCCTGGAGACTCAGCAGGTCCACGTAGTATTACCTTCCAGATTTTGGGAGTCAACGGTGGCCGTGTAGGACTGGGTCCAGAGCCACAGGAGGCTGATCTGCGCTTGTTGCTGTCACACACACCAAGCTCTTCTCAGGAACGGCCATCCCAGGCTTCGGGTCCTGGCTTCTCAGAGTGCAGCCCACCGACCACAGCACCAGTATTTCCTGGGGCTTGCCAAAACCCACGAGTCCCAGACCCACCCAGACCTCACTGGGTAAGATCCCCAGGTGATGTGTTCCCCTGACCTGGATCCCACACAGTGGGAGCTGGCCCACAGTGCCATCCTCAAGACCTGGTACCCCGCCTCTGGGCCCTGTCTCTGAACAGATGCAGTAAGCAAGAGGCCCTTGGCATGAGGAGCTCCCTGCAGAGATTGACCCCCACTGCCAGGGTTCTCTGGGTAGATGGGGACAAAGGGGCAGGTAAGGAACTCATGCACTGTGATCATTGAGCTACTCAGTGGAGTAGCTGGATTCTCACCTGGGCAGGCCAGTGTCTTTTAAAAGCTGGGGCAGAGGGTCCCTCCCTTCCCAGCCTAATGCTAACTCTGGTTCTTCCTGTATATGGATCATTATCTCTTAATTCAATGTCAGAAGTAGGAGTAGTGGTCCCATTTCACAGCTGAGTCTCCAAGAGATGAAGCATTGGGGAAGGGGTAGGACAGGTATGAGGTCTCTGCTCATGGGGCCTCTGTGCCCTGCCTTCCTGAACACCTGTGCCACTCCAAGCTGAGTCTCCCCTTCTGTGGAGCCTCAGTCTCTTTCTTGAGCTGGCTGAGACCTTTTCCTGGCCCCATCCAAAACCTGATTCTGCCCAGGACCCTGAAGGCCCAGGGATCCCCTACCCACTTCACAAGGGGTGGAACGACAGAGGTTCGCAGTCTTCCTCTCGTCCCCTGTCCAATGGGACTAGTGGGAACACTCTCCCACACAAGTGCTTGAGGATGCAAGGAAATGCCTAGCATGGTGCCCTGTATACAGGAAGCACTAAATAAATGCTGGCTAGCATAATTTATTTCTTCTTTGGGTCACCTTGAAAAGTGTACCTATCTTATCTTGCAAGGTACTAGGTAGTTTGGCAAGGCTGGATTTAATTGGACTCTGTCCACGCCACCTCACCTGACCACAAGCTACAGGATTGGCATTGGGCTAGATTCGTCCCTGAACACCCTGCTGTCTGACACCCACCCAAGACACTTCACCCAGCAAGTGCTCAGCACAAGTGCTCCTGAAGGAAGGGAATGGGTTTACAAGGCTTTTATAAGCCATGGAAGGAAGCCTGTGTTTCAAATGAATGATTGTATGAGTTTGACATAAATAATATGAAAAAGATTCTAGAATGTTCTTTTTTCGGTAACAGCCTTAATGAGACAGAATCCATTCACCATATAATTTACCCATTTGAGATGCATAGTTCAGTGATTTTTAATGCACTCAGGGTTGTGTAAACCATGACCATCAGTCTCAGAATCTGTTTTTCAACTCAGAAAAAGAGCTTCATACTCTTGAGGAATCCTCTCCTGATCATCCATCCCCACCACATCGGCTCACCTCCTTTCTCTCCCTCTAGAGAAATGGAGTGATATAATAACATGGCCTTCTTCACTGAGCATGACATTCTCCAGGTTCATCCTTGTCACGTGTGCCCGTTTCTGTGATTTGGGAAGTGTTCTATCATGTTCTAGTCTCCGGATGAGACTGAGGAGAGTGATCATTAATTCTCCTTTCGAGGTCTGGTAGAATTCACCTCTGAAGCCCTTTGAGCTTGGGCTTTCCTTTTGTGGGGAAATTTTTGATGACTAATTCCATCTCTTGTTCTGGATCTGTTCTGATTGTGTATTCCTTCTTGATTCAGTTACTACAGTTTGTGTATTTCTAGGATTTTGTCTGTTTCATCTAACTTATCTAATTTATTGGCTTACAATTGTTCTCTTATAATCCTTTTTATTTCTGTAAGGTCAATAATAATGTCGCCCGCTTCCATTTCTGATTCTTGTAATTTGAGTTTTTTCTCTTTTCTTGGACTGATCTAACTAACTAAAGGTTTGCCAATTTTGTTGAACTTTTCCAAGAACCAACTTTTGATTTAGTTGATTTTCTCTGTTGTTTTTCTGTTCTCTGTTTCATTGCTTTCCACCCTAATCTTTTTGTTTTTTAATTTTTTTAAATTTTAATTTGTTTACGTATGACAGCAGAATGCATTACAATTCATATTACCCATGTAGAGCACAATTTTTCATATCTTTGGTTATACACAAAGTGGAGTCACACATTCATGTCTTCACACATGTACCTGAGGTAATGATGTCCATCTCATTCCACCATCTTTTCCTCCCCTTTTCCCTATCTATCTAAAGTTCATTCCTCCCATGCCCCCCCACAACCCCATTATGAATCAGTATCCTTAAATCAGAGAAAACATTCAGCATTTGGTTCTTTGGGGATTGGCTAACTTCACTTAGCATTATATTCTCCAACTCCATCCATTTCCCTGCAAATGTCATGATTTCATTCTCTTTTAATGCTGAATTCCACTGTAACCTTTTAAAAAATTATGGTAAAATACACATAACATAAAATGTATCATCCTAACCATTTTTAAGTATATTAAATACATTCACAGTGTTGTGCTAACATCACAACTGTCATTCCCAGAACTATTTTTTTTAATCTTGTAAAACTGACTCTGAGCCCCTTAATCAACCCCACTTTTCCCCTCTCCACCCCTGGTGATCACTATTTCACTTTCTGTCTCTGAGTTTGACTTCTCTAGATGCCTCATAGAAGTGGAATCATACCGTATTTGTCTTCAGGGCTCATTTCACTTAGTATAATGTCCCCGTGGTGTATCCACATCTTAGCAGGTGTCAGAATTTCATTTATTTTATTTTATTTTTTTTTGGTTTAAGTTGTAGTTGGACACAAAACCTTTATTGAATTTCCTTTATTTTTAAGGCTGAGTAATATTTCATTGTATGGATATACCACATTTGTCTGTCATCCATTCATCAATGGGGATGCTTCTACTTTTGGGCTACTGTGAGTAGTGGTGCTATGAATATGGGTTTGCAAATACTTCTTCAAGTCCTGCTTGGTTTTCCACTCTGACTTTTATAATTTCCTCCCATGATCTTGCTTTGGGTTTAGTTTGTTCTTTTTCTTTTTTCTTGAGGTAGAAGATTAGGTTACTAATCTTGTAACCTTTCCTTTTCAGTTAAGATGTTTGCAGCCAGGAATTTCCCACAAAACTGCATCCCATAAGTTTTAGTATGTTGTGTCTTTATTTTCATTTATCACAGAGTATCTTCTTATTCTTCAAGTGATTTCCTCTTTGACCCACTGGTTTTTGAGGAGTGTGTTGTTTACTACCCACTTATTTGTGAATTTTCCAAATATCTTTTAATGATTTCTAACTTTATTCCATTGTGGTAAGAGAAAATTTGTATTATTCATCCCTTCTAAACTGATTGTGGTTTGCTTCAGAGCACGTGGGCTGTCCTGGAGGCTGTTCTATGTGCACTTGGGAAGAATGCATTCTGTTGCTGGGTGGAGTGTTCTGAGGGTGTCTGTAGAGACTGGGTGGCTTAGAGTGATGCATCTGTCTCCTTTTGCCTTGTTGATATTCTGCCCCATTCTATCCATTATTTTAAGTGGGAATATTGAAGTCTTCAGCTATTATTTTTGAAGTATCTGTTTTTCTTTAATGCTACTTTTTTTTTTTTTTTTGCTTCATGTATTTTTGGTGCTTTGTTCTTAGGTGCATGTATGTTTTTAATTGTTTTGTCTCCTGATAGATTGATCCTTTATCATTCTAAAATATCCTTTTTTTTAACCTCCAGTAATATTTTTTTTGTATTAAAGTTTACTTTTTCTGATAGCAAATTCCCAGTTTTCAATGTTGCTACTGGCTTTTCCTATTCTTTTACTTCTAATTTGTAGCTGTGTTTGAACTAAAGTGTGTCTCCTGGGGACACCATATAGCAATTGCTTTTTGTTATCCAGTTGTTACTGGCAGGCAAGCCGAGAAACTGCCTGCATTCCAGCTGGCTGGATTCAGCTCCCCCAACCCACGTCCCTAGCTACAAAATAAGCAAAAGATGCAAAAAGGAAAAATAAATTTAATGCAGTTGATCAAACTGGAGAGAAACAGTTAGATTGTTTTTCTTGTCTTATAGAAGTGGTTATCATTTGTAGAAACAAAACCCAGGAGATGCACATATGTAGACTTAGCTAGGCTGTGCTAGCTAGAGAGCTCACAGGACCACAGTTTCCTTGGTGCCCACCTGGGTCAGGTAGTTTTCTATTTCCATTCTCAGCATGAGGAAGTTCAGGAGCTAAAACAATACAGAACTTCTAACTTTAAAGGGGCTCTGTTTCACAATCTGAGGATCCCTGCCTTTTGATCAGATTCTTTAATCCATTCATATTTAATGCTATGATGGAGACAGTTGGATTTCTGCCTGGCATTTTACTTTTTATTTCCTAAGTCACTCATGTTTTTGTTTCTCTATTTCTCTCTTATTGCTTTTTTATTTTGGCACTGATTTTTTCTAATGTAATATTTTAATTTCTTTAATTTTTCATGATAGTTTTAGTCATTTCTTTCTAGGTCACTGTAGGGCTTACCTTATACATTTTAACTTACCAGAAGGACATATAGACATATAATTCCTACATAGCTCTGCTCTCCAGTGTCTTTGGACTTTTCAGCCATCTCACTATGTTGAGTCTGTGTGTAGGCGTCTCTGTTTACCCTATTTAGATTTTGTTGAGCTGGTTGGATGTGTTGATTAAAGTTTTTTCTTTTTTTAAAATCAGATTTGGAAAAATTTCAGCTATTATTTCTTTAAATTTTCTTTCTGCTCCATCAGATCTTCCCTTCTGTGGAATGATTTTTAAATGATTCAAAAGTTTTTAGAATCCTCAGTCATCTAACTGGGCTGAACTTCACCTCCCCCTACTCAGTCCTGAGTCTGCCCATGAGCCCAGGGGTCTGAGGGAGGCAGCAGAGAAGGTGAAGCCCAAGCACTGGCTGTAGCGGCCACACTAGTGGAGCGCAGGACCCGGTGCTTGTGGCCTATGAGTTGATTCTTTTCCAACCTTAAGAATAGGGTAAAGGTGTTCAGAACTCCACTCATCTGACGAATAGGCCTCACCCATTCCTAGGGCCAGTGTGATGGGGACTGGGCACTTCAAGAAGACAGGGAGCCCCTAA